ATTACCTAACACTACGTAATACAGCCCGCTGGTTCAGACTAGGGATGTGAGGTTGGATTCTCACGCCAGTGTCAGAATGTTATCTCCTGACCAGACTGTAGAGACTGAGGGGGGCCCTTTTGAACAGGGGAATTGAGTAGACGCTAGACATGGTGGAGCCGAGAAGTTTAAAGTTTAACACGTCAGTGTAATTCTGGAGAGAACAGGCGTTTGGCAATTAGGAATGTTTTATCTTGGTCAAGGTCGTACTGTAGGCCGTTCACTGTGAGTGACAGGTCACTGGTTAGCCAAGTGATCTGATAGTTACCTCAGGGGCGGTGCTTAAGCCATCATCTTGAGGGTTGGGTAAAAACTAAGGAAAGGGAGGAGTTTAATTTGGACAATAGATTGATACTTATACTTCGAGCCTGTGGAATTTCCGTCATTAATCGCAGCCTGCCGGCAAACAACACAAATCGACCTAAAAGGTAAATTTTACGGTCGCATTCTGTTTTGGCGATTAATGGAAAGTTCCCAGGTAAGAGAAAATATTAATTTTAATCTTGTATACTTAGGTTATGGAGTTAGGCTTTTAGTCTATACTACCTTTTCCTAATTTGTCTGCACATTCTGCTTGAAATAGTTCTTTGTGAATGTTCAGTATCTCAGTTAGGGAACTGCTAAACTATTCCTATTTCTTGTATGTTTGTGTCACATGTTTTTCATTGTATGTTTTCATGTGTATAAAATAAGATGTGAACAATGACGTTTGCTATAATGAAATGTAATTATATTGTTTTCACGATCAGCCAAAATATGAGTTTGGACTGTGGGAAATGATGCCCAAATATGTGCAGGGATGTTGCTACGTTTTGTGTGCCCACCATGTGCTCACTTAATGTGTTCACCTGAACAGGGGATTTATAACCTCAGGGGAAGAATGATGGGTGTATAGAATTCACTGTCACTGAAAGATAATATTCAGGACAGCGTGCACATATAAATTGTTTGCGGGTTCAGCACATAACCTGCGCCACATGTTTATGTCAAATCTATGTTAGCCAACTCGAAGTCTGAGTGAAGACGGACAACAGACTTAGAAAGTCAACTATCATGACATAGCATTTGAGGGAAGGCAGGATATGTGACGCCCATGTAAGACAAAAGACCTTCAGACTAGACTGGAGAGGATGTGGAATATGAGGAGGAGTGATGGGCTATATCTTATTATTATATGTTGTATTAATTGATACATGTATTCTTAGTGTAAGTCAAGATACTACACGTATGTGTTTTGTTTCCATGATTACAGCGCCCATGTGACGATCAGTCCATGAAGTAGCCTACATTGTGTTAGACTCGGCCAGCTGGGGACGAGGTGGAGAACGAGGTGGAGAACGAGGTGGAGAACGAGGTGGGGATGAAGTGGAGAATAAGCTAAAACAGGCAGACAACAGGCAAGGAAGAGTTGGACAAGCTTGACAGTTCCTCACGGCTGTCAGAGGCTTATAAGTTGAGTTAACCCCTTTATGTTAACCTATTATCATCATTATCATACCACTCTAACCCCCGAGCTGTTTTTCTCGCTGAAGCTTACCACCATCATCAAGTTAACCAGTCACTGTTTGTGTAAATCAACAAACTGGGAATTTCATTGTAGTAAATAAAGCTGTATGTCAAGTTTTAAACTACATAGTTTGTTAAATTCCAAATGTCTGTTCTTACATGTTTAATTAAACTGTTAAGATAGATTACCATTTGGTGGGGGCTCAAATAATATAATAATTCTTTAATTATTAATAATAACACCGGGAGAAGGTAGATGACGGAGGAATCACTTGCCCTGTCTAATAATTCATTAACATTAAGTATGATAGACATCTAAAATTCCTTGCCTTCTCTTGTGGGTACCAAGTTCAGCTAATGTTAATATACTTAACGAGCCAATATGGCTGTTTTCTTGGATATCCAGGACTTTGTCTGAGAGCAACATAGCTCAGATTTTAGTTCGGTTTATCTAGTGGAGAGAATGTGTTGAAAGGAAGATCCCTACTCAACAACATAAACATTTAAACCACGCGTCACGTCACAGTACCCACTCAAGACCGGGTTGACTTGAGAGCCAATGTCTTTTCTGAAGGAAGCCTGGTTTCGTAGTGTGAGTGTAGAGTTAAAAAATATGTAGAATCATGGACCGCCATCTATATCAAGGATAACCGAGGTTTAAACTAATATAACGTCAAGTTCTGTCAGTAATTTATTAGAGAAACCGTAGGCTGCAGAAACATCAGGCAGGATTCAACAATAAATAACTGCATTCATGCAGCTTCATCCGCACCTCTCGTCGTCCACTCGATCGCTAAAGCTCCACTCGTCGCCCGCAATAGCATCATTTCTTCCAGATTTCTAAAGCAAATCTTTATTTTTTTTTTACACGGAGGTGTAGTTGCCCCACAATCCCACACCTCTTCCTTTCTTGTCCTTGCTTGGGACCGGCAATGGCGAGAGACATCTTGACCTAAATGTCCATCTAGAAACGATCACACATTATGTACAGAAAAAAAAAGTGGGAAGGGCTTCAAAATATTGTTTTTATTATTTAATACATCAACCGGCTGAAGATCTACTTAAATAGTAATAATACACTTTCCTTGACTCCATTGTGTCGTAGTAATGACTTTTTTTTATCAACGGCAGAATGAATTGCAAGGGAAACAACTCATTGTTAGTGTCGAAATAAACATAAGGACCAATTGATAGCCTCCCATGTAACTGCTCTTGAATACATCGATCTCAAAACGGTTGCTGTGTGAAGTTTCATAAAAAAGAAATTCGTCTCCTAACAAATTAAAACAGGGCACTATAATTGTCACAGTAATTACCCCCTTCCCTTGCAATGCCACACTCTGTAAGTTTAACATCGCAAGGATGAGAATCAAACCGGTATAAACCCCAGAAAGTTAGACTGGATCGCTACAAAACAGTTAACGAAGCTCTGGGTGCAGTTAAGGGTCAGCGACTGATAATTGGGAAGTCATGGAAAGCTCAGGAAGAGGACACAATCAGACAGGTTTGCTTCCTTGAAAACAGGTGAGGAGAGGAGTGGATCAAAGTGCCACCTGAACAGTCAAACTTGTGTAGGGTCTAATCACACTGAGCCGGGAATGCAGAAACTGGCCAGCAGGTGCCACAGAGTTGGAAATTCAGCAAATAATTCAAGATAATGCTCACTCAGAAGATTTGATCATTTACACAGACGGTTCAGTGTCAAAAGGCAAAATAAGTGCTTGGGGTTTCTTAGCAAAAGTTAATGGTCGACGTTTGGTGCAGGAGAGCCTAGCATATGATACCACAACATCCAGTTTAAGAATGGAGGTGGAGGCGGTCACTGCGGCTTTCCGCTGGCTAGAGAACACGGCATACACACAAACATTGTGACTGTAACTGACTCAGAAAGCATGCTGAGGAAAATTAGGGCAGGCATGCTTCGAGCAGAGTGGCATGCCTCGCTGCGGAGGACACGGGTGAGGAGTATTGTCTCGATTTCTTCACCAGGGCATACCTATGTTGGGAAATAAACAGGCGGACAGACAGGCTGGCTCTGCACAGCTGGTGGAATACTGATGCATTATAAGGCAGACGTGGTTAGTGTCTTGTGGGAGAGCTTGTACAGTTCGGAGGAGCAGATTGATCACCACCGTGTGGTGAGATTGATGCAGTTGGGGGTGACGAGAGGTTCTGGCAGATGCTCGAGGCTCAGAGGAAAAGCAAGACGTACGTTCAATCAGAATGCTACTGGCACCATTAGTATCAGAACTCTTCGCTGGCTGCTGAAGATAGGGACGGAGCACTTATGGGAATGCCTCAAGTGCTGTGATGTCGGTTCTTGAACCAAATCAAATCAAAAACAGTTAATGAAGTAACAAGTGATAGCGGGTTGTGTTGAATACGTTGAAAACAAATTTGTGGAGACCGTTCCGGTATTTAAGTGTGTAGGATGTTCGTTTACTGATTTCCGTAGAGGCTGAGACAAAGGAGTCAGAGACGATTAACCGTCTGTGGAGAACTACTCATTAAACGAGAACAGCTATGCAGAAACATGTCGCGAGGCACAGAAATAAAGATGTGTCTGTAATCTCATAGAGAGCACGGTGAGCATGGAGACCAATGTCCTGATAATAAAATACTCAATTTCTGCACTAATACGCCTTGTTATCGATCTTGTTGACAGCCCATAATTTATCATTTGGGAAATAAATGTTGCCTATCAAACAATCAATTAGTAGGGACTGCGTGGTCTCGAGGAATGGTGTCCGGGCTCAATCCCCGTTAAGGGCTGGGAATTGTTTACGTGAACTTGGACTTATAGTAATTTCCACTGGTCTCTGGGTAGTGAGATCGGACGCCCGTGTGCATTGTTGAGAAGTAAAGGTGGTTGGCGTGATGCTGACCACATCACCCACCAAGTGCCGGTTGGTCTATTAAATATACGTCTAGCCCTATGTGTCCATTATGCGTGAAGGAGTGGAAACGGCCCGCTAGTTTATTCTCTTTTTGATTTCTGTTTCACTGATGCCATCAGTTAGTGATTTAAAATCAGTCAGTTGTGTAGTTGCCCTGGCAAGACGCCGGTCTGTGTAAAAACTACTCACGGAAACTTGACGTCTGCTCATTGGCGAAAAAGTCGCAGACCGCAGGTAGCGGTAAAGGAGCCGGTGATTAGTGATGCTAGAGTCAGTGACGTCTTTCTCCTGGCGATTCTGTTAGAGAAATAATCTGCTGTGATACTGTAGCGGTTCCTAAAGAGAAAAGGAGAAGATACTGCCCTCACAGTTCTAGTTACTTGCTTTATTATTACTCACATTGTCGTTATTATTATTATATTTGATAACGGAAATGTTTGTCTCGCTCGCTATATAAGTTCTAAATCAAATAATAGTATAACTATAATAGTCGCTTAGGGTTGTGCTTATATACAGTGGTGAGTGGACAGTCCGATTTCGAGACGCTGAGGGGTTCATATGACCATGGACAGTTCTAGTCTTGTCACACATCGTAGGTAAGGAAAATGTTTATCTTTTAACTATTTGAGTCCCAGGGGGTTTTGCACCAGAGGCCCAAGGGGGGTAATATGATTTTGACTTTTAACAAATGCAGCACTTTAAAACAAACCACACAACTGCAGCTGATGTCCAATATGCAGGTATCATACATAAAATTAAACATAAATGGATAAGGATTAATATTAGCATACTGCTACAACAAACAATTATACTGTTAGTTAGTTTTTAGTAGAGAAAACAGTGACTTAGTTTGAGAGGTGAGTAAATTATGAACAAGTTTTTTCCACATACCCAGAAGCTGATCCCAAAATTCTTGATATAGTATATCCAAAATGCATCACAAAGGAAGGTACACCACTTATAAGTATGCACAGCCATTATTAAAGCAAAATGTGCAATAGTTTTTGTTCCATACTAATTTTAATAACACTACAATAACACGTCAAAATATATTCTCCAGTGGCACAAACAGTGACTTTTCTAGAAATAATTGAATTCCTCACATAGAAAAAAAACTGTAAAGGCACTGTAAACATGTCAATCTGTTCATAGATATATATCTATGGTTTTAGATGATATGGATAGTAGTACTAGAAGCGCTGACATTTGGACTAGCTGGTGTCGCGTTACGAGGTGCTTCTCTTGTATTGCCAAGGCAGAATTAGTCAGTTTTGTCCTCTTAGCAGGAGGTAAATTACGCACACATCCTCATCAAAACTTGACTCGTCAACGGTTTGGGGAAATTTCACGTCGCTACTATCATTATCCAACTCCACATTACTTTAATTGATCCACTGTTTTATCAAATTTGATGATTCTAAAGCAGTAAATCGCTTTGATGGGCGTGAAGACGATGACTGATCGGACATATTGTTTTCAGACAATTGTTTGGTAACGTAGTAGACCACACAAATATAGATTTAAAACGTTAAAAACTCACCAGACCCAAACGAATGCACTCCACGTGTGAACACTACACACTTGAGAACCGGAAAGGAAGTTTAAATTGAGCGGTCCACGTGTAATTACCGATAAGTGGTAAATTAAAAACCGTCACACGTCATGCGCTGTTTGGGCCGCTAAGTAGTAAAAAATGAGCGCGTGATGCGTTCCTTGGGACTCAAAGAGTTAAGACATTATTATTATTATATTATCATTATCATAATTATAAATAAAATTAATTATGTGTCCATGTCAAATGCCATCATTCATCATTGTTTATTTATGATTTGGGTTTTTGCATAATAATAATATTGTAAACAAATTCCTTGACTACTGATACTAAGGCTCTTTGTATGGAGCCACAACCTTTAAGTAGTTTTAGTTTGCTGTATGCTAAATGTATTGCTATAATTACCAAGGCACACACAGAGAAAGATATTCGGTAAATGTAGACAATCTAATAAGTAGACAGATAATGGAACTTCAACCTGGAGCATAAACTAAACACCATGAATCCCCTTCCCCCCCCCCCCCCCCCCCCCCCCCAGCATTCCCCACACAACCGGACAACCAAAACAAATATAATTATTAATATTATTTGCTGTAAGTTACATAAACAAGGTTTAGAATACCTGAGCACCCCGTCCCAATAAAATGTTTTAGAGGGCAGTGTGAATGTTTTGTGCGTGTCTGTCCCACTTGTAGAAGGTATCAGAGTCATAGGACACTAGACTAACAAATAAATTATCACCGCCTTTCTAATATTTCTATACTCTCATCTTCAGGAAATATCTAACAGCAGTGTGTTACCGAGTCTATAGTATAAGCAGGAAAGCAAAGAATGTTGGAGGTTTGGAGGAGTGAGACTTACTATCTCATCATTGATCAGCAGGTTAACTCTGCGCTGGTTGCTGAAGATGAGGACGGAGCACACATTGGAATGCCCTGAGTGCTGTGATGTCAATTCTTGACTCGACTCAACACAGCTTAAACTTAATCAACAGGTTCTATCCAGAACATTGCTCTCTTCTCTTCATGGCACGCCTAATTGTCTGTCTTTAGTCAGTTCTCCAGCCCTATGTGCTTTTACTTTCATAACCAGTGCATCTTCAGTCTCTTGTAATCCTCATTACAGTATAGCTGTCTGGTCTAAAGGATCTGCTTCACTGAAAGTTTACCCGCCCATCTCTTAACTGTTTACCATTAGCATCTATCAGTCTGTTTATAATAATCCAACTTAGTATTACTCCAAGAACTGACAGTAACATTTCGCTAATCTCTCATACGGTGCTGAATATGTGTCATTAACTTGACACTACCTAAAGCCCATGTATGCAAAATCACCACTTGTGAGATGAGATGCCTAAGAAAAGCCACCAACCTAACCATCCGAGATCGAGTGATTAATTGTGGGAACGACACCTTGTACTAGATTCATCGAGAAACAGCAGATCAAGTGGTTTGGCAATCTCATTAAAATGCAGCAAGATCAAATGCCATCACAAGCACTACATCTCAGAAAATAAGCTACAAGAGCAAGAGGACGGCCTGCAAAAAATTATGGATTGACAACATTAAAGACACTCTATGCCTTCATTGCATGACAATAGCTAGTTGCAGCCAGCTCGCACTGGATTGCAAATTGTTCCTCCCCACAACGCTTAACAACAAAAGTGGTTTATGTTGTTGATTTAATTGACATCTGCTTCTTCTGCCTTCTATCTCCCAGTGGAGCATTGGTTAATTACACCAGATCATTCTTTCCTTTGCTATTGCTTACAGCTGACCCCATCTGTTTAACTTTACTCTCTAGCTCCCTTCTCCATATATTTTTTGGTCTGCCTTTATTTCTGTGCACTGTGGGTTCCTGTGCAAACACATTCTAGTTAAATTGTTCTCAGGCTTTCTCAGCGTGTGTCCTATCCAACATTAACATCTTTTCTTCACCTCTTGGTCCACCAGAACTTGTTTAGTTCTCTGCCAAAGTTTCAACATGATTGATTTTATCGCACCATTTAATTCCTTATATTCAGCGCAGGCACCAGTTAGTGAATGTTTGTAGTTTATTAGTAATTGTTTTAGTTGTTCTCCATGTTTCCAGACAGCAGAACTGATTTGACATCTATATTAACTTAATTCCTTTTCTTCATTATTCCTTTTGTACATTAATGTTCCTTCTTCACTCCCACTTTAATTATTTGAGGTTTTGAATGACATATATTCATTAGCAAGTCCCCAGTAAGTAAAACACTTTCTTGTGTAACATGCAGTATTTAATTTTCTTGTTAGGTTCTTATTGTCCTTGATGTCCTATATGGTCATTATTTTAACTCATGAAGACCCAACCATGGAAAAGCATTTGGCTCAGCAGTTAAACAAGCTGGGCTGTCATTTGGTAGTCCAGGCACTAAATTTTGTTTTCTGTCTTGTACAAAAAGTAAATGTTCTAACCTGCACAACAACAGAACTAGTTACATGGCCCTATGTCCTCAGACTCAGGAATCTTGTCTAACAGCCCCTCGAAAGGGGTAAATACAGGCCCTACAGTTTGTTAAGACTTAAACATTGGCTACTTTATAGTAAAACATGTCAGGAAGGAAAGTATTCAAGTAGTCACTAGTTAGTATTGACAGGGTTAATAGGTTTAAGTTTAAATAACGGATCAGCATGGTTCCATGGTAGTAACCCACAAATGCTCTTTTCTACTTCTAACTCAAACCCGAGTGGGCAAAATCTCAGCACAGTGCACGAACTCTGTAGCAGTTGAGTTGAAAATGTTTTAGTAAGCAGCTCAAAGAAACATTATATATTGGTTTTATTATATTCTATACCAGTAGCTTTCAACCCACGCTCCCCTTCAAGGGGACGGGGAGGAGCACAAGGAAGTTTCAGGAGGATGTGGGACAATTATTCGTTTGTTTAACTTAGTTGTAGATTCTGCCTGGTTTGTTTAATTAACTGAGTTCATCTGTACTTGTAATAATCTGTTGTAGTAACATTACTTTTTTTTTTTTTTAGTTTAATTATTACTAAAAATTTTTTTAAACTATTTATAAAACAAAAAGCCAGGGTCATTATTGTTTTCCTGAGCAGTTTTTAGAGGAGATATTAGCAAGGCAAAACAGTGTCAACCATCACATTGATGTTTCCACACTAAATCTCCAGTTGTTTGGTGATTGTTCCTTTTATGTTATGGACACTTTGATTTATGTGGGTGTTTTTCTCTCCATGTTCTTATTAATACTGCTTGTGATTTTCTGTTTGTTTATCCTGTGGGGATCATCTCATATGTTTAAGAGGGGTTCCATCCCATATGTTTAAGAGGGGTTCCATCCCATATGTTTAAGAGGCGTGCCATCCCATATGTTTAAGAGGCGTGCCATACCATATGTTTAAGAGGCGTGCCATCCCATATGTTTAAGAGGGGTTCCATCCAATATGTTTAAGAGGCGTGCCATACCATATGTTTAAGAGGCGTGCCATCCCATATGTTTAAGAGGGGTTCCATCCAATATGTTTAAGAGGCGTGCCATCCCATATGTTTAAGAGTGGTTCCATCCCATATGTTTAGGAGTGGTTCCATCCCATATGTTTAAGAGTGGTTCCATCCCCTATGTTTAAGAGTGGTTCCATCCCCTATGTTTAAGAGTGGTTCCATCCCCTATGTTTAAGAGTGGTTGCATCCCCTATGTTTAAGAGTGGTTCCATCCCCTATGTTTAAGAGTGGTTCCATCCCCTATGTTTAAGAGTGGTTCCTTCCCATATGTTTAAGAGTGGTTCCTTCCCCTCTGTTTAAGAGGGGTTCCATCCCCTATGTTTAAGAGTGGTTCCTTCCCCTCTGTTTAAGAGTGGTTCCATCCTCTTTGTTTAAGAGTGGTTCCATCCCATACGTTTAAGAGTGGTTCCATCCCCTATGTTTAAGAGTGGTTCCTTCCCCTCTGTTTAAGAGTGGTTCCATCCTCTTTGTTTAAGAGTGGTTCCATCCCATACGTTTAAGAGTGGTTCCATCCCATATGTTTAAGAGGGGTTCTATCCCCTATGTTTAAGAGGGATTCCTTTCCCTATGTTTAAGAGTGGTTCCATCCCATATGTTTAGTAGTGGTTCCATCCCATATGTTTAATAGTGGTTCCATTCCATAGGTTTAAGAGTGGTTCCATCCCATATGTTTAAGAGTGGTTCCATCCCATAGGTTTAAAAGTGGTTCCATCCCCTATGTTTAAGAGGGTTGCCATCCCATATGGTTAAGAAAGGCCCACCTGAAAAAGATTGAAAACCGCTGTACTATACAATCTGAAGTTTGTGTGCACCCGATGTAACTAACCCATCCTGAAAAATCCTGGCTGCTGCAAGCACGTGAACACCACATGTTCTGATGACTAGATGCCAATTTTCTTTGATTTCATGTCAAGTCGGGGTGACATGTGAGAGAAGCCAGGCTGCTAGCTTGCACGTGATGCAATTGTTTCCCTGATCTGTTTCCCTTATCTCATGTCAGAAGTTGATGGTTGCCAAGAGGGGGATTTCTAATGGTAAATAAGTGATAGATGATTGTGTTAGCTTGGAAAGTGGGATATTATCAGGTTTCATAACTTGCTGCAGGTTGAATGGGGACTGGCATGTGTAGTTTGCAGCTACAACAGTGATTTTTTCTTCTTCTTCTTCCAATGTGTATGTATTAGCCTGAGCGAATGGCTTATTGTGTATATCCAGAGGTGTGGGTGTATGAATAATTGCAAGTACATATAATTGTGCATTTGTATGGTGAATGTGTATGTGTGAATATGTTTGTGAATGTGAGTGTGTATACATATGTGTGTGTATGTATATTTAAATGTGGAAATTTGCCATACATGCTTTTGTGTTTTACTTGCTGGTAATATTGTGTTCACTGCTGTATTCATATAACATGTTTTTAGGTGAAATATGGTTGTTGTGAGAGAGAAATGTCTGAAAGGACTGGACATAAGAAAGGTCTGTGTGCCCAATTTGTGACCTTTTTAAAATAAAGTTTGTTCATTCATTCATCTTCTACTTCTTTTCTTTTTCCTTCTCTTCTTCTTTTTCTTCTTTCTTCTCCCTTCTCTTTCTCCTCCTGTTTTAATTTCTGTTTGTTCTCATTTTTCTTGTTGTAAATAATCATGGCAATCGTGGCTTTACACTTCTGCATCAGCTGATGTGTTAGTAAAATTGATGTAGTTTGTATTGTCATTTATACCTCAGCTATTTATGATTTGTATTGTCATTTATACCTCAGCTATTTATGATTTGTATTGTCATTTATACCTCAGCTGTTTAGGATTTGTATTGTCATTTATACCTCAGCTATTTTTGATTTGTATTGTCATTTATACCTCAGCTATTTATGATTTGTATTGTCATGTATACCTCAGCTATTTATGATTTCCAGGCATCCATCTCTGTTTTCCATTACCCTCTTTTTGTCAGTATTTTCTTAGACTAATAAGCTTTTAGATGGATTTCTTTATCAGAATTACACAAGACAAAATTCACAACAAGCCGCCTGAACTGATTCTTGCTTTAATAGAGTCTGACCATATTCCAGTATGTGTGTTGTTGTGTTGCAGATATCAGGTAGCAATGAAGGCACTCAACAGCTGCCTGTACTTGCTGCTGGTGATGTTCCTGTTGCTTCAGTCCATGTCCCTGGATGTTACCTCAGCTCAGAAAAAGAAGCTGAAGAAGTCCAAGCTTGCAGGTATGTGGTCAGCTCTGTTTGTTTAGTGGTCAGTATTGTGGATAGACCGGTTCACTGTTTTTTAGTTCTGATAAGTTTTGGCTTCTGATAATAGTTAGGCATGACATTTGCCTCTATATGCAGACTGAAAGGATGTAGTTCAGAGTATGGTGAGTGGCCTGTTGCCAGAGAATTGGTAGTGCCTTGTGGAATTACTGATATTTTGTAACTGTTGCTAACGTTGATTATGAACTGCATTTCTGGTGTCACACCTTGTCTGTTGGCACTTCTGATTTAAGCTTTATGCATTTAATGCACGTGTATGCTGTTGCTGAAACTGCAGTCTGTGTAAATTTGTTTTACAAGTTACATCGATGGACATGCTGTGTTTTTTTTCTAGCTGGCACAGAAACAGAGCAGCTGTGAGATGACATGTTTTTCTAGGAAGTCGGGACTGCAGCAACCGTATCTTACTTTTTGATCACTCTGTGGTAACATGAATCAATGACTGGGTCAGTAGCCGGGTGTGGGAGAGGAAGGATGGCTTCAGTGGCTAGTGTACCCAATTCAGAGCTGTCATTTTGATGATTGACATGATCCCAGTCACACTAATAGTTTCACATCATAGCTACCACATCATCACTTTGACATCATGCAGTTGCACCAAAAGTTTCACATCATAGCTACCACATCATCACTTTGACATCATGCAGTCACACCAATAGTTTCACATCATAGCTACCACATCATCACAGTTGCACCAAAAGTTTCACATTATAACTACCTCAGTTTGACATCACCACAACACATTGCTGTATATACACGTTTCTGCCCCCTTCCCCAGTGTGCAGGTATGATCGAGCTGGTAGCGACAGCCCCTGTAATACAACCACCAACATGAAAGTCATTACCCTACAGCTAAAGAAGGGCAACCTGTCTACCTGCAAGTCAACTAAGCTCATCACCAAGCCATGTCATGATAACAGCTTCGCCAAGAAAAGAAAGGTTAAAGGTCAGTCTTCTGTCTTTGACTTTCACAGCAGTAACCCTGAAGAATCCTTATACTTAAATGTATTGTAAGCAGGCTAAGCTGGTACTCCCGTTCAAATCGATAACCGAAGAGTTTAAACTCGGCAAAGTAAAACTCGCCATGCTCTTGCGCGAGTCTTCAGACCCAAATGTCATTGCTGTCCAGCCCGCTCTAAAGACTCAGAAGTGGAGAGTCCTCGATGCGATCGAATCTGCCCAGAATGCACTAAAATTGAAGGAAATATTGGGATACACTCAAACCGACCGTCGAGGCCTGGGTCATGGGAAGGTCAATTTGTAGTCCAAAGCCACAGCCAAAGAACGCCGAGACATCGCAATACAACAAGTTAGGGACAACAAAAACGAGGTTTGTTTCCAGAAAGCCTGGAGAGCGCATTGCCAAGAGTACTCACATGGGGTGAGATCTGGCGAATGACCCCACTGCGACTGAGCTTTATCGTTCGTTCGGCTGTACGATGTATTACCGTCCGGTGTTAACATGGTTAAGTGGTCTGCGCCTAACGATCCGACTTGCCCGCTGTGCAGAGTGAAGCAGACGCTAGAACACGTTCTGTCCGCAGGCAGGAAAGCCCTAGGTCATGGCCGATACACCTAGCGACACAACAAGGTGCTAAAAGAGTTGGCAGCTGTTGTTGACCAGGCTAGGATGAGAGCCAACGTGAGGGCCAGTCCTACCATCGTCCCCATACGTTTCCTCAAGGCTGGGCAAATTCAAAAGGGTAAAATCAACAAATATATATATATATATATATATATGTGTGTGTGTGTGTGTGTGTCTGTATTCAAAAACCAAGTGTTTTTTAAATATATATCTATATAAACTGTTGTTCATATGGTAATTGAATGTAATTTAAAATAGCATTATATTTTTTGTTGACAGTAAAATCACAAATATACATTTTATATGTAAACTTCCTAACAGCCTGCAGGTATGAGAGAAATGGCTCAGATTGGACAGAATGTGACCCAGTCACCAACCTAATGTCAAAGGTCATGAAGTTGAAAGAAGGAGCCAGCAGTCAGTGTCCATCCTCTCATGTCAAGACTAAAGCCTGTGGAAGCAGCACCAACAAGAAGGCACCACAAAGGTCCAGGAAAGGTATGACTGCTTTGTATGTCTGCTTCTTTTGTTTAGGAACTCTCCACATTGCTTTGTCTGCTTCTTCATCAAAGGGGTTTTCATGTTGTCTTCTTTGTATACCTGCCTTATGTCTTATGGCATGACCAGAATAAATAAGTAAATATTGTGACTTCAAAAGCCTTGTCCAATCAGTTACCGTTAGTTACTCCAGTTTTCCAAAGTTGTCGCAACCTGCCTTTCAGAAACCATATCTCTGCTATTCCAGTATTCTTCCTATTATGTTCATTCACATTCCAATATTCATTAATCTATAGAAGGAAAAATTCAGCATAATATTCCAATGCTCTGACATTTACTGAGTATAACTTATTACATGCTTTTCATCTTCTGTACAACTTTTGCTCTTAAATTCTGTTTCCGTTGCTCTCTATATAACTGAAAAGGGCACTGATGGTCTGTCAGAAAGAGGACCATATTACATACAGTGTTTAGGTTGTTACTGTGCTGTACCCAGAAATGAAGCAGCAGATGTGCTTGTGAAAATCACAAGAGTATGTAAAGAAAAAGAAGATCTTGAAGTCTGTTAGTTTTGAGAGAGAAAAAAAAACTATATAATAAGAAAAGTAGAGATCAACTCAGTGACGACTGCAACACTTACAACCAACAGGGACAGGTCACTATCCTATGCCACAGGACAAGACATAACAAACTGAATAAACACAGGCATGATTTCTTCTCCATTATTTGCACATGTGGACCAACCAAACAGAACTTCTGTAGATGTTCTGTGTAGTTGTTGTCTTCCGTACAGTGAGTTCAAACATTTTTACTGGATCACTGAATCCACAGTGAAAAAAACAAAAAACAAAACTCCAGGCAGTATTGAATTAAACAGGATCTCCCCAAAAAATGTTCGTAAGGAGAACTTGTATCTTCTTCTTGGCATTCATCGGCTATAAAATGCAGAGAGTTCAAGTTGTTCATCCATTTCTAAACTGAAATTGTTCTAGAACTTGAGTTTTGAATGCACATCCATTTTACAAATCAGGCTTATTTGTATACCGTATACCTCTCAAGCAGATGCACTCTGACTACATCCCTGATTACTCAACTCTTACAATATGCTTATTAGGGCACAGTGGGTACTTTCCTTTTTTTTTCTCTGCAAGGCCCTTGCATGGCAGAGTAAAAGCCAAAGATGTTGGAGGAACTCCTCATTGCTGTAAAATTTGAAGCCAGGACTCATAAATATTCTAGTTGATTCATGACATTGTTCTGTGAGTTTATTTGGTTGGCTTGTGACACTAGGTGATCATTCGTGGAGTCTATGACCGAAGTAATCATTACGTAATCATTTATCTGACTTAGCTGTATCACTGAGGAGCAGCTGGCCGAAAGGTTAAAAACACAGGGCTCTCTTGCAGATGACCTGAGTTCTCAGGAACTCCTCACAAAATCTTAGTGTCCCTGAGATGGGGTGAAGAAAAAACAAAAGTACCAAATTGTGTGACTCAGTGTTTGCATGAACCAAAGTGTGTGACTCAAAGATCCAATTAACCAATTTGTGTAATTCAGTTATCCAGTTAACCCTTTAAGTCATGTAGAATCCAATTAATTTATTTGACTAAAACAACAACAGCTAACTTGTGTGGCACAGTGATTCTAGGAATTAACTTGTGTGACTTGCAGATTCACACTGTCCTTATTTCCCGTGCTGGTTATGTTGACTTTTATATAAGACCAGGTCTGAAAGTAGGCCAAGGCTGATTTTCATACCAAGTTTTGTTTCTAATTATGAATCAGCCTTTGAGTCAGTTGGGCAAGGAAATATTGATGGATCAAGTAACTGACTGATGTACTCTGCCTGTGAGGCTGTTAACTAATACATGTGAAACCATGCACACCTCACTGGATCTGGTGACTTTCCTGTACAGCTTTGTTGATGATTCTGTCAGGATGTGTGTACAACAAGCAGCCATGGTCAGACTGCAGCATGGACACAAGAACTAGGCAGAGGGAAATGATACTTGTCCGAGGAGATCCTTCTCTTTGCTTACCAAAGAAAACTGTCACCAAAGTATGCAAGAAAGGTTTGCCAGTTTGTCATAAATACTTGTGTCTGACATAATGTTTCCTGTGTTTGACATGTATTTCAGTAAATTAAAATCTGGCAAGCCAGGAAGATTTTGAGAGTTCTTTTAAAAGTCAGTATTTGTGGATTACGGATTATGAATGCTGTTTCATAATTCTGAAATACTGTGGGTTTTTTGTAAGCCGCAGACCTCTTTGCATTCAATTAAACAACAGTATGAGTGTTGAATCATTTGGAAAGCACTGCCTACTTAAGCCACAGATACTAATGCTGGTTTGCAATGTCTTGTCAAGAATATACAACTAAACAAAGTGAAAAGTTACCAGTTTTTTTTTTTAACTTTCCGGGACATAATATTGGTTGTTCTTTGGTTTATTGTTTCTGAATCCTCTTGGAAACTTCAGCTCTAACACTTAACCCTTCACCCCAATAACTCTTTAAAGTGAAAAACTTCCCAACTCAGGAATTCCTAAAATAAATCCTTAACAAAACCCAGGTCACAGGAAACAAAATCCATGTATTTATCAAGAAATAGAACATACAGTGAAAATATGGTTTCCATAGAAAATATACACTTGAGGTAGTTTCTTGGATTAAAAACTAGATTGATTACAGAAATCATACACAGACAGTCAAGTTTTTTAGAGCATGTTATGAGGAGAAATACATTCCAACACTTGGTGAGACTTTGATAGGAAAAGACAAGAAAGGCAACAAAGAGAAACATTAAAAAATTATTGATTAGTGAGCACTACTATCTCAGGACTCCAGACAGATCCATAGGAGCTCTGATCTCCTCAGTCACTGTACAACAGACTAATCACTCTGATTCTGTGCTGATTAATCAGACGTCTTGGGTCCTAGTGAAATATTCATGTCTGGCTGCTCCAGGTTGCACTCCAGTATCCACCAACCTGGACAAGGATACTGAATCTTGCTTGGTGTCATAATCCTCTTCACAATATGCATCTTGCATGTCATTAGTAGTAACAGTCAAAGTAACTGCTGTGTCTGCCATATAATCTGTTCAGTAGTTGCCTCTAAAACCTGCATGGCCCAGCACAGAGGTAATAGGTGACTTATTTATGATGCGTTTAATATGAGAATCCATAGAAGACAATTGAACTGTCAGTAAACTTTTAGAAAGAAAAAATTTCAGATAGCTGATTCTTCTTCTTCTCTTCTTCCGCCATTTAACTCAGTGAGGTGTTGGAGAGATATGTAAGGAACATCTGTGCACATTTTCCACTGCATTGTACAAGTTGGTGTTCATTTCTCTTAGGTTGCTCCTGATGATGTTGCTCTATTTTTTGCACGGTCTTCTCCTTGCTCTGTGTTAATTATATTTCTTCAGCGTGGCTCTCTCAGGGCATTCTCTTCAGATGGCCAACCATCTCCTTTGTTGTTCTTTAATGAATTGTGAGACTGGTATTAGTCCTAGTCTTCTTCTAATGTCTTCATTCCTGATTGTATCTCTTCTTGTCACAACGGCAGCTCTCCTAAGAATCTCTGTTGTTAGATTTTCCGCCCATTATTTGTAGTAAGGGTATAATAAGATGATTGCAAGTTGTAAATAATAGACACCTCCTTGCACCCAGTATGCTCAAGTTAAAAATAGACGCTTGTGAATTTCGCAATCTCCGTGAAACAGCCACACAATCAGTAAACAGCTTTTTACTGGGTTATGTATTCTTGTCATTTTTGTTTTGTTTTTTCAAAGTTTGCCACTATGTGAAGGGAGAATGGGGGCCATGTGATGTGGTGACAAACTTGGAACAGAGGTCACTGACCCCTCGAAAGGGTGACCCAGCTCAGTGTCAGTCTAGTGTGGAATCTAGACCGTGCCAGAGACGAACGGAGGAGCTGGTCGCAGCCAAGTCAAACAGTAGGTGTTGTGGTCATTGTAGTTATAAAATGTTGGTAACTTCTCATATAGATATTTGTCAACATAGATACACTTTTGGCAGTTTGTTTTTTTCTTTCAGCTTTACTTTTTGTCCCCACTGAACGACAAGCTGCCATCTATCTTGTACCATTTCTTAGCCATGTTACCCAAGAAACTGTTGAGGAACAAACAAGATTCCCAGGAATGCCTGAAAATATTCCTTTAAAATTTTTTTTACATAGGTCACTAGTAGATTTTTGCAAATTGTGTTGACTTACATTTTCAAATAAAATTATTTCATATAAATTAAGTTGAGTAAGTAAAGTAAAGGACTCTTTTCCCATGCACCAGGCACATAGGGCTAGACTTTTTTTTAATAGACTTATCAGCACTTGATGGGCGATGTGGCCAACATCATGCTGAGTACCTTTACTTCCAAAGACTTTACTTCGTACCCATTTAACCCACTGACCGTTAACCCTTGCACTTTCCCAGATATTTTAGTGTGTACTAAAAATGCCATTTCTTCACTACTATTTAACATAAACGCATAGTATTTTGTATTTTAGCACCAAGTGGAATAAAGAAAAAAATTTCAAGATCAAGAACTGCATAATCCTATTTGACATCCTTATCTTGTGGCTGTAGATTGGTGCAAAAAATGCAACAGAAAATTACCTTTTTCCGACAGCAGTTTAGACTTTAAAAAATGTCATAGCTTCACAACTATTTAACATAAATGCATAATGTTTTGTATTATTGGACAAAATTCAATGGAGAACAAATTTCAAGATGCGAAAATTGTGCAATCTTGTACATCATCATCATCATGTTGCTTGACACTGATGTAAAAACAGCAACCAAAAACAGCTGGCAAAGTTATTGAGAAAGTTGCCAGAGGAAGACAAAGATTAATAACTAAATCACTTGACCACTGGGCATAACAAGGACAAGAATACATGGATGATGGGAGGTACAAATGATTAGTTGATCTTGCCACCATGATAGCTATGGCACTTCAAGATGACATGATGATTAGAAACTGCTAGTTGTTGCAATTCCTTCAAACACAGTTGATTCTCAACATCTGTATGCTTAATCTATTTTCATGTTATTACTGTTGATCACTGTCTTACAGGATGGAAAGATAACATCCGAGAAACCAAAACAGGATTATGGGTCCAAGGTCGAGGCGACCAGAAGAGCAGGAAACAATACCTTAGGTCTCCCTCAACACCCGAGGAGGTCAAGGAGGAAGTGAAGAAGATCTTGATGATATGTAAATAGGGACCGCCTCTGTAATTATCCTATATTTGTGTGTCACTAGAATGTCGCTACAACTTGAGCGAATGGAGTACTTGTGATCTCCGAAGCAACACTATGACTCAGTGGATGACTTTGAAAAGTGGGGACCCAAATGTGTGTCAAAGGTCTAAAAAGCTGACCAAGAAATGCAGACTTGGTAAACAGAATTTCAAGGTTTTACTGTAACTAGTTTAAGCATTGGTTGTCCTTATATATGATATATGAGCCATTGTAAGAGTTTATGGTCACCTAGATCTCCTTTCTGAGCCCTGCAAAAGGCAACATACATCAAAGTAAATAATACAGTCCTCGAGCGGGTTGATACATTTAAGTACTTGGGTGTCCTGATAACGGCACATAAAAGATATTTTAGAGAAGTTAAATAGAACACCTCAAGCAAAGACAGCTTTTTAATCAATGAAGAAAATATTCTATGCAAGCTTTCTTTCAGTTAAGTTGAGACAAAGAATTGTCAATGGCTATATAAATCCTATCCAGATATATGGATTCCATCATGCACAGTTGGCCGATTGTGAAAACTCTGCGGAAGCTGAAGAGGCATGATTTCATAGATGAATGATGAGAACTCCCTGGATAGATGAATGGAATAATAAGATGTCTCGAATAAACTTCACACATGAAGAGAAGTGATGGCTCCCTCAGAAGAAGAGAAGGAGAAAACTGGGGTACATCATAACAGTGGGAAAATTGCAGTAGAAAATAGGCAAGGGGAGACAGAGGTAAAGGATGCTTGACAGGTTGAAATCAGGGCATGGAAGATCATCTGTGTCTGAGTTGATTGAAAGTACACGAGACAGAAGAGTATAGATAGACAGGACTTCTAGTGACACATAGCATGGACAATAGGAATAAGATCTCTTATCACTGTGTGTTGTGGATCCATTAAAGGGAACTTCTTCTGCATTGTTCCTGGACTCTTTGAGTCCCATGGAACACATCATACATTCATAGGTTCCTACCTAGAAGCCCAATTATTGCATGATGCACCTGTTTTATATCTCTTTTTTCTACCCCTTGGGCCTGTGATGCTAAACCTCCCTGGTACGTAAAGAGTTAAAAGGACAGTTTGCACATAGTGTTCTGATTTACAGCTAGGCTGCAGTACCTTTTGGTCCAACATCTCATTTCAGCGAACCCTTAATTAGTCTGTCCTGGAACGCACACATAGAGTTAAAGGCAATAAACAATAGGAGCACTGTATCATTGCAAGTATTTTGTAAAGTACTGAGTTTTCAGATAGCTGTAGTCTTGAGCTTACATGATATTTTATTAGCTTGCTTTACGTGTTTGCCTGATGTGTGTCACATATTTGTAGTCTTGTTTTAACATGATGTGTCTCATTGGTTGGTCATATTTCTACTGTTTATTACCCATGCCAGCCTGCAAGTTCCGCCGAGGGGAATGGTCAGACTGTGATGAACACACTCTCCTCATGACAAGAGTGGACACACTGGTCAAGGGAAGTTCCAAAGAGTGTGACCTTACAAGAGAGATTACCAAAAAGTGTAAAAGAGGTAATTTTTTTCTCTACTAAATAATGTTTCTTACTCCCCTAAGCATTGGGGTGGAGTCTTTAACAATCAAATGTCTGAACCTTTTCACCCCGAAAAGCTGCACTCAATCCTGCAACTGCTGCTACCCCACATTTCTTCAGTGGTGTATTTGTAAGATGCCTAGATAATGGTATTGGTTGTGTTTGCACCTGTACAGCATTTAGGATGTCAGAATATATTTACTTAACATAGTGCGGGGGGGGGGGGGGGGGGGGTATCTTGTGAACAAATAGGCTGTTTTAAAACAGTTGTCATCCCTTTACTGGTTTGAAGTGCCGTTGTACTGAAAACAAGAATTGACCCACTGCCTCCCCAACAAATATGTCATAAGAGAGTCAACTAATTAGGGGCTTCTTTCAAAGTCAGAGTGCATCTGCAAGGAACCAACAGTCTGCATGCAAATAAGCCAGATCTGTAATACAAATGTGCACATAATGCTTAGGTTCTGGAACACGACTAAAGTCCAAAGTTGGACAAACAACATGAACTTTCCGTCGAAGCCTGTGAATGCTAAGAAGAAGAAGAAGCCATTTTGGCATTATAATTTGGTTTGGCAACTGAATACAATTTTTTAACGTTCCAGGACAGTATTGAGGTATTTCACAATAGATCCTGGTTATATCATGTTTACATGTGTCAGTTGGGCATGGAAGGATGTTTCATGATATTAACAGTTGACATGTGATGTTGTGCATCTGTGTGAGAGGCAAGGAATTAACAGTTGACATGTGATGGTGTGTATCTGTGTGAGAGGCAAGGAACTAACAGTTGACATGTGATGGTGTGCATCTGTGTGAGAGGCAAGGAACTAACAGTTGACATGTGATGGTGTGTATCTGTGTGAGAGGCAAGGAACTAACAGTTGACATGTGATGGTGTGCATCTGTGTGAGAGGCAAGGAACTGACAGTTGACATGTGATGGTGTGCATCAGTGTGAGAGGCAAGGAATTAACAGTTGACATGTGATGGTGTGCATCTGTGTGAGAGGCAAGGAACTGACAGTTGACATGTGATGGTGTGCATCTGTGTGAGAGGCAAGGAACTGACAGTTGACATGTGATGGTGTGCATCTGTGTGAGAGGCAATTAACTAACAGTTGACATGTGATGGTGGGCAACTGTGTGAGAGACAAGGAACTAGCAGTTGACATATGATGGTCGGCATATGTGTGAGAGGCAAGGAACTAACAGTTGACATGTGATTGTGTGCATCTGTGTGAGAGGCAAGGAACTAACAGTTGACATGTGATTGTGTGCATCTGTATGAGAGGCAAGGAACTAACAGTTGACATGTGATGGTGGGCATCTGTATGAGAGGCAAGGAACTAACAGTTGACATGTGATGGTGGGCATCTGTGTGAGAGGCAAGGAACTAACAGTTAACATGAAATGGTGGGCATCTGTGTGAGAGGCAAGGAACTAGCAGTTGACGCGTGTTGGTGGGCATCTGTGTGAGAGGCAAGGAACTAACAGTTGACATGTGATGGTGGGCATCTGTGTGAGAGGCAAGGAACTAGCAGTTGACATGTGATGGTGGGCATCTGTGTGAGAGGCAAGGAACTAACAGTTGACATGTCATGGTGGTCATCTGTGTGAGAGGCAAGGAACTAACTGTTGACATGTGATGGTGGGCATCTGTGTGAGAGGCAAGGAACTAACAGTTGACATTTGATGGTGTGCATCTGTGTGAAAGGCAAGGAACTAACAGTTGACATGTGGTGGTGTGCATCTGTGTGAGAGGCAAGGAACTTACAGTTGACATGTGATGGTGTGCATCTGTGTGAGAGGCAAGGAACTTACAGTTGACATGTGATGGTGTGCATCTGTGTGAGAGGCAAGGAACTAACAGTTGACATGTGATGCTATGCATCTGTGTGAGAGGCAAGGAACTAACAGTTGATGTGTGATGGTGTGCATCTGTGTGAGAGGCAAGGAACTAGAAGTTGACATGTGATGGTGTGCATCAGTGTGAGAGGCAAGAAACTAACAGTCTGTATACAAGTAAGCCAGATTTGTAAATGGATGTGCTGGTTCTGGAACAAGGCGAAAATCTAGAACTGGAGGAAGGATTAAGACTTTCTGCCAGCCTTGAACACCAAGAAGGCTACTTCCTCACTGTCTTCCTCACTTTTATTCTCTTTTTCTGTTTGCTTTCTGTCAGCCAAAGACATCCATTGTTTTGTAGTTGATCACTCACAAGTTTTGAAGGTCAGCTATTATATTTCTACACATGACATCATGCCTCTCAATTTTCCACTCATTGTTATCCTGACATTATCAAGCACAAGTCTGTAGCATACAGTCAGCCATAAATCAGGCATAGATGCTTCCGCTCAATAGTAGACTAATTAATATATTGTATCTCTGTGGTTATCATAGAATTCAGAAAAAACAAAATAGAAGGCTCTTGTATCCCTGTATTTTCCTTTTGTCCAGTATCTGCTTTGTGCCACCAGGTGTCGCAGTTTCACAGAAAATAGGTAGCCAGTCTATGGCCAGCAAAATTCACTCATAAATAAACATGACTTTTTTTTCTGTTCACTTTATTATTCTGTTTTTATGATCATATGTTTTAAACTGCTGTACGTAGACATTGGTGTCTTCAGTTGTTCCGAGTGGGCTGTAGGTAGGTAGTTGTACCCCACCAGGACATCACACAGGCAGTAAACACCCGGTGACACAAAGTGCCACCATGCGGATGAGGATTACCCGTGGACAGGTCTCAGAAACCCCTTTCAGCCGTTAAGCCATATCTATGGCTAGGCCCTATCTATGCCCCAGATATTATCAGGGCCTCCGGCAGAAGCCAGGGTGGGGCTTCAAATAACAAACAAATGGCATCCCACATGGGGATTACATGGGCTGTCACAAGACTGGACTGTTACTGATATTGATCTTTCTGTCTGTGCAGTTTGCAAGTACACAATTGGAGAGTGGGGACAGTGTGACCCTGTTACAAACCACAGAACCAGAGTGAAGACACTAGTTTCTGGCAGCACTTTCAAGAAGTGTCTGCCAGAGGAGATTGTTACCAAACCGTGCACCAAGAAAGACGGGGAAGGTTGGTCAAATAGTTGCAGAAGTTATCACATGACGTATATTAAAGTTGAATGGTTACTCCTTCTGCTTCTCCCCTTTAGAAGGATGGTTGGCACATTGTATTGTGGTTTACAGCTTAGCTGTGATATCTGTGCCTTTCAGCTCAGCACCAGTTTAAACAAACTCTTAATTAATATACTGTAGGATCATATTGTTGATGGGATCGGAACTCTTCGCTGGCTGCTAAAGATGGGGATGGAGCACTTATGGGAATGCCCTGAGTGCTGTGATGTCGGTTCTTGAATCAAATAAATAAAAAAATCATTGTTGATGGGCAGTTCACTACTGGATCAGACGATTGGATTTTGAAGCCTTTTTTCATTATTGGTCATTCTAGTTTACAATTAATAATTCATATTAATCACATTAACATTCTTTCACTTGCTTTCATGCAACTTTTCCTGTATTTATATCACTTGCACATCCTTATCTCTTGCCCTTCTGCCAATATTTTCTGTTTCTGTTTTGATTCCTGCATTCTTCCTCACATTCTCTTGCACTGCTCATTTATCTCTTATAGAACATTGCTTCCTTTATTTCTGTATTTTGTTCCATCATACATTCATACTACACCAGTTCCTCTTATTCATCTCTTACAGTGCTTTTATTTCTGTATTCTCCATTACACTATATTGATTCATCTCATACGACATTGCCACATCCAGCATAATAATGGAGGTTGAGGCAGTAACTGCCGTGTTCCGATGGATGAAGAAAATCTCAGCCACACATTAACATAGTATCGAATTCACACACAAGCATGCTCAGGAAGGAGAGAGTGGGAAGCAGGTTTTTTAGTCACCGCTTGGAGGTGTGCTGCAACTGCACAAGGCAGGGGTGATCTCTTGTCTGTGGGGCAAGCTAACAAATAAAATGGAAGCTACTGAAAACCTGCACCTGGACAAAATGTTGTAGCGGGTAGCGTCAGTGGATCTGGGCGTCACTGGAAACTCAGGGGGGAGATAAGATGACCATCGAAATTGAAACTCTTCACTTGCTGCTGAAGATGGGGACTGGCCACTTATGGGAGTCTCCCGAGTGCTGTAATGTCGATTCTTAATTAAACATTCAGCTAGATAACAGGGACTCTTGAGTATGGAGATTCTTCATTAGCTGTTGAGGAGAGAGATGAGGGTAACATAGGCCTGTCCTGAATACCCTGTTGTCAAATCTTTACCCAGATTAACCGACATGTATTAGCTCTTTCTGTTTTTCTCTTGTAGATTGCTACTTCTTTTGTACATATATACTTGCTAAACATATTCTATGTGGTCTTCTACAGAGCGATGCTTTTTTGGTTCCTGGGGAGAGTTTGGACCATGCACAAATGGAGTGATGACCAAACACAGGCCGGTGTTGCAGGGAGGGCTGGAGTGTGAAAGAAAGGGAGCCATCACTAAAGCCTGTGACCGAACAAGTTAGAAATAGTCAGAAATATGTAGACTGTTGTATTTATAGCTAGCAGAGGGTCGTCTGTTGTGTTGATTTTTAGTCGAACATAACTTATGTATTATGCTGTATACATCATAAGGGAACCCTGATTTGATGCATTATGTTGGTACAACATGTCCTCTTTTGTAACTCATTCAGCACTAAACAACCCATGTATTTGTTGGGCTGCATTTATGATAAAAGGTTTCCTCAACTCCTTGTGCCACATCCAGTTGTTACAACAATCCACACTTCTCCAGTTGTTACCCTAATGCCTTCTCTCTCTCTTTTTTACAAGTACCAGCTGCAAACTCTGGCAGGATGTTCTGGTTTTTCATCCAATTCTGGACTTTAGTCTTATTCCAGAACCTTAGTTTTGCATGGACTTCAATTTTAAAGATCTGGCTTATTTGTGTGCAGACTGTTGGTTC